TTAATGTATCATTAAATTGGACCTGCTAAAAAAACCTAAAATTAGCCAAATCACACTTCCTGCAAAGATAATAAATACTTACCTCTCCTATTGCACAAGCCACGCAGTCGAACTCCTAATTCCTGTGCTCTACTCAGTGGTTCCCCCCACTAACCTCAACATTGCTACAGGGCATTGATGTGGACGTTAGTGGGAGAAACCACTGAGCACAGTAAAGGACCAGGAGATTAACGTTCCCAAAAGTTCTGATTTCTCAGCAGACTTCAAAGGAAGATTTCTCTATTGCAGTGATAGCTTTTTTTGGGTAATTTTACTCCCCTGCCAGGGATATTTTAAATTATGTTTTTGCTAATGCAAGTGAGTAAGTACCTGTGACCTGATATCAGCCTACTGAAATCCCTTGTAGACTGGGAGACAGAGGTGTAGCCAGGGGCGGACTGATCATTTGGAAACTCGGGCACTGCCCGAGGGCCCAGGGTCAGTAGGGGGCCCCATGAGATGCCCCTGGTACCTTTTTCATATGCTTTTTTGAGTTTGGGCAAAGACACAGGGGCCCCATGATCCCCTATTGCCCAGGGGCCCCATGAGTTGTCAGTCCGCCCCTGGGTGTAGCACAAAGGGCTAATAAGTTGTACTGCAGCAATCTGGTGCTAACAAGGACATGTTCATAGGAGGAATTAGCAGAATGACAGGTAGATGATCTCATGTCTCCTGCTTTTACTTTCACTATCCAATCACAGCCTGATGGTGGGAAAAGACTTGTAGTACATACTGTATAAATATATATATATAGTATCATATTTCTTGGCCTGTCATCAAGGCTGTGGAGCTGTATATACAGTATATCAGAACAGTATATTTAAAACAGCAGTTTGTCTGCTGTAAATTCAGTTTTATTTGCAAGTGTTATCTCTATATGGTAATTTCTATTAAATAAACTGATGAAAAAAGTATAAAATATGCATAAGCTATGTACTTGGTACAATGTCATAACAAATAATAAAATAAAAAAACAAGATATTTTACATATGTGCTAATACAGAACAGTGTTGTGATTGCACTTGGGCATCAAGGAAAATGGACTTCAAATGGACACTTACTGACTTCCTACAATAAATTGAATCTCATCATAATCATAGTGAGAATTTTATCTATGTGCATTTGCAAGTCTGTGAAAATGCTTGTTCCACCATTAAAAGCATTCTCTGCAAATGACTAAGATTTTCTGAAAATAAACATCTTATTATTGTGCGATGTCATCTGTTTATTGAGATGAGCACAGCCATGTGATCTGTTTTCTGAAAAGATTATTTCACCTTTTCAAAAAAACTGAAAAGCTGAACAAACACCCTACACCATCCCCACCCCCCAGTCCCCACTGTACTTACCTCCATGAGTCATGAGCATTCAGTGCCTACACAGCTGATGTAGCATTCTGGGAATTTTAAATCCCTACTTACTTTCTGCAGGGCTTCTGGGACTGATCAGAGTGTTTCCCTGTGCCAGAGCTGACCAATTAGAATAACTTTGACCTGTTCCAAAAGCCCTGCAGAAAAAGGTGGAAAAGAACAGAGATTTCAAATCTCAGGACAGCTGAACCAGCTGCATATGAACTAACATAACTTACCCATGGAGGTAAGTACAGCAGGGACCAGGGGGGTGGTGATGGTGTAGGGAGTATCTTCACCTTTTCATTTTTTTTTTGGAAGGGTGAACTTACACTTTAATGAAACAGTTGAAGGTGTGTCCAAAACAGTCAAGCAGAGAGCAAAGTACTATTCGCTAATAAGCTTCAGATTCGACCAGGGGCGGACTGACAACTCATGGAGCCTCTGGGCAATAGGGGATCATGGGGCCCCTGTGTCCTTGCCCAAACTCAAAACAGCCTATGAAAAAGGTACCAGGGGCATCTCATGGGGCCCCTACTGACCCCGGGCCCTCGGGCAGTGCCCGAGTTTCCAAATGGTCAGTCCACCCCTGGATTCGACCCAAAGCCAGCCTGTTGCAGTCTGGGGAATGGGTGTACAAACTGGCTATGTTTGGCCAGTTTTTTCCCACTTACACTTGAACCTCAGCTATTGTAAACAACTGCTTAGACACAATTATCATTTCTGAATGTTTCCCAGAATGTAGAACATCTGTGCTTTTGAGTTCAGGTCCACTTTAAGCATGCTGGAGTTTTACTATATTTAAATGAAGAGAAGTAAAAATAGCAACCAATTAGAATTGTTATAGTGCAGAACACAAAAAGAAAGGGGAAGCCTGACTGGTTGTTCAGGATACCTTCACTATTTTCCTCCTGTTTTCAATCAGCATGGAAAAAAAAAACTTTTGATATGGTCTTAGTTGTGAAAAGACCTCATTCTATTGTACCTATCTTTGTACAGCTGTACAGGGTAGACAAGGTCAAAAGTAACATAGCAGTCAGCAAAAAGCACCATAGAAATAAATAAAGAAAACTTGTTTGCTCATAAGGTTTCAGTTTAATATTGAATAGCATGAATGAATGTACAATTGCAGTTCTTAACAGTTTATCTTCAGTAAAATATATGTGACATATATGACTGAGCTACTAAGAATACTGTATGGGTCAGGCTTTACAAAGGATACATGCCTAAATTGATCATTTAGCTGTATAAAGCCAGCCATAGATGGATAGAAATTCAGCCAGTTCAGCAGTAACCTTCAGAATGTTGATGCATCTATGGGCAGGCTGGCTGTAATGAAGTTAATCTATCGATTTACTTCGGTATAACCAGCCCAAAAGGTTTTTTTTGTTCGTTAGCTCTCGGTGGCTATAGCTGCAAGAAGTGATCAGTGTATTCTGGCGGCAGGGAAACCACCCACTGTCAGAATACAAAGAGACAAAAGGACATTGCACTGACAAGGGACTGAGATTGAGCTCTGCAGGAAATTTTGCGGCAGTTGTCTTCTTATTCTGGTTACAATCCTGCGCAATATGGTATTGTCTGTTTCAGTTATTTGATCATGTCGACAGCACTTATGCTTATCAGACAACATTTTCCAGGAAACTGTACATGCCATCAAAACCTATGATACTGTACCTTGCGACAAGGCCAATTAACTGGCAACTTCAGTCACAGAGGCAACAGCTAGGCAGGAGCAGGGGCGGACTGACAACTCATGGGGCCCCCGGGCAATAGGGGATCATAGGGCCCCTGTGTTCTTGCCCAAACTCAAAAAAGCCTATGAAAAAGGTAGCAGGGGCATCTCAAGGGGCCCCCTACTGACCCCAGGCCCTCGGACAGTGCCCTCGTTTCCAAATGGTCAGTCCGCACCTGAGCAGGTGCCAACAATTTGCCCTCTTTGAAGCTCAGTAAGCTCTGCAATGCATGCAGGGAATAATGAAAGTGAAGCTTCCCACCTGTTAACTAGGTGTCTCATCACAAAGCAGAAGCAAAAGAATGTTACATCACTTCCGCTTTCAACAAGAAGCATGTTGTCACAGTCATGTAGTCTTTACATTTTTTTTTGTCTAACCCCTGCAACTCTTTAGTTCATTCTTTGTCTCTTTCTGTATAATTAAATAGCTGATTAGGTGACTCATAGTATAATATATTAAACACATGGTAGGAATTCATGTGCAAATGTTGAAAGTAGGAGAAAGAGGCTGCTAAAACTAAAGCTTTAAATAGCATTTAGGTAAGGGACAATTAGTTAAAATGTTATGTATTTCTTGGACTCAGTTCACAATTAAAGTGTATGTAAACTCTTTTTCTCCTTTTGGCCATTGTCACCGAGACAGAAAGTGTGGAGAAATGTTTAATTTTGAAGATACCACCACAACAAGAGATAAAGTTATACAGTATCTTCCAATGGGGACACCTGTTCCCATAGGAACTGTCAAAAAGGAGAATACCCCTTATTTGTAAAGATTTCCTTTCACTACTCATTTCATTCCTGAGACAGGAAGTTAAGGGGGATCTTGGTAATGGGACACAAACAGCAAAAGAAAAAATAACAGAGATTCTTCTCTTATCTAAAGTTAAAGCAATGTTTTGCATTTCAATACACTTTAAGTCACAATGGCTGGGGAGGCAAATTGGTAGAAAAGTCTATTAACAGCTTTACACCCCAGCTATATATAGGCTTCCTGATGGCATGGGCTATGCAACTGTAGTATTACTAACATACAGCAGGTCAAACATTCCAATGACAAACTTGTGCCATATCTCAATCCATGGTGATCACAGACAGGTAGACTTTATGCAACTGCTAATTGGTTACTATGTACAGTTGCTCCAGATTCTGTGTGCACTAGTTTTAGCATAGTCTTTCACTTACCTGTTTATGCACAGGGCAAGTCTTTGCATGTTTTGACTTACAAACCTACCTTAGAAGAGGGTGGTACACCCCAAATGCTTGTCCTTAAAATGTGTTATGCTTAAAGTTAGTGCACAGAAAAAACAGTCAAATGACAATGTGTATACCCAGAGATGTGTTTTCTAAATGAGTCTTTATAAAGACAATCCATTATAAAAGAACATCACAGTTTATTAATTAATAAACTTAGAATTAAAATGCAATGCAATGGCCCTCTGCATAAATCACCTTGTGGGGGGTGATTCATCAATAAATGTGCTCTATACCAGCCAGGGGCGGACTGACAACTCATGGGGCCCCCGGGCTATAGATCATGGGGCCCCTGTGTAATTGCCCAAATCTCAAAAAAACCTTGAAAAAGGTACCAGGGGCATCTCATGGGGCCTCCTACTGACCCCGGGCCCTCAGGCAAGTTTCCAAATGGTGTTCGCCCCTATACCAGCTCACAACAATGACTGTTAGAATGTTTCTCTTAGTTGAATGAGACCATCAGAGTGTAGGAGTTTCTGAAAATCTTTGTAGTATAGAGTGTTAAAGTACAGTCCTTATAGTATGCTGTCCTTTAGATCCAGTTTAAGCTAGACAATGACTAATATAATGTAAGATGGTAACAATGTTATCTGCTTTACCAGAATATACCATTTTTTTAATTGCAGAAATTGAAAAAGAGAGCTGTGGTGACCCTGGGAACACCTCTATATGGTATTCGAGAAGGAGATGGTTTCTCCAATGGAGATATGTTAAGATTTGAATGCCAATTTGGATTTGAATTAATAGGTCAGAAGTCAATAACTTGCAAAGAAAATAATCAATGGTCAGCCAATATACCAATATGTATCTGTAAGTATTTCCTTTTAATAAACCTTGCTTTATTTCCCGTATGACACAAATGAATCATTCCAAAAATCATAATGTCTAATATTCCAAATCATGTAATTTTGCACTAACTAGCTTGTTGTTTACATATACAATTCTGCTTATTGAAATATCCAAATGTTAATGTCAAAGGTATAGTAAATCAATTCTAAAAAATAAAATGGTACATTGAAACAGTTTTTCTGCCATCTGTTGTATAAAACTTTGGTGAGGCAATGCAACTAAACAATCAAAAATAGCAAGCCATGTTTTATGCAAATCTTTATAATGAATGCAGGGTTCTTGTTACAATTTGTCTGTGCTTTAATGTATTTATTTATTTTGCAGTTCCATGCTTATCAAATTTTACTGCACCAATGGGGACAGTTCTCTCTCCAGACTATCCAGAAGGCTATGGAAACAATCTGAACTGCATTTGGACTATAATTTCTGATCCAGGGAGTCGGATTCATCTGTCCTTTAATGACTTTGACTTGGAATCTCAGTTTGACTTTCTTGCTATTAAAGATGGGGATTCTTTAGATGCACCAATATTGGGAACTTTCACAGGTGCTGAAGTCCCTTCCCATCTTACCAGTAACAGTCATATATTGCGTTTGGAATTCCAAGCTGACCATTCAATGTCTGGACGAGGCTTTAATATTACATATAGCAGTAAGTATCATACAACAAAAAGTAAGCTGCTACTGAAGTGAGCTTTGAAATGCTTATGTTAATTATAGTGTGTTTACTTGTGTAGACAAGCATAGTAAAACAAATATACAAAAGGGGAATTTTTAGCCTTCAAAAAAGGTAAAATATGCAAGAAAAAACATTTTCATAAAGGAAAAAGAGGCCCATGTGCCAATGGAAATTCTACCAACTGGTTTTAAAGAAACAGAATCCATGATTAACTGCTTGAGTTGGTTGAGTAACAATAGTGATCTTAGTAACTTATGTTTTAAAGTGTTAACCTTAATAGAACTGTAAAGCTGGTCATAGATGGATCAAAATTCAGCCAGTTCAGGAGGGATCGGATTAATTGTGATCCATCTATGTCTATTCCAATTCACGAGAAGTCATTCGAATAGGCTGGTTGGAAAATTTTAGTTAAATCAGTGTTACAGCCAGTCAGAAGCAGTGCTGATCAGTGTATTCTGATAGCTGAGGAGTCCCTGTTGTCAGAATGAAATAACACAGCAGGGAGGATTCCTCCATCCAACTCACTTGTGTGGCCAGGTTTACACTTAACTGTAACAATGAACTCATGTTTGCCCCTTTGGTCTGGTAAATATACTGTTGAAAGAGATTTGTTATATACTGTATGTTAGATAAGTGTTGATCTTGCAGAAATCCAGTGTGCTTCTGTGTGCTAACGTCCTGTAATGATCTGTGAAAGCTGCACTGAAATCTCAAACATAACCACTGCTAAGTTCACTTTTGAGACCTTTGCAACACATTACCTATATTATAGAGAGAAGTATAGGGGAAGGTGTTTCAAACCACTGGTGATATAACATGAGTTACCATCATGAAGAGTTTGTTGTTTTCACCTAAGTATGACATAACCCTTTGACTTGCATTAGAGGCAATTGTGTAGTCTTACAAACAACCTATGTATTTATAAGCAATGTACAAACCATACACAGCCAAGAAGAGATTAATAAAACATAAAACCCAGTGATCTTTACATTAAAGAGAACAAGTAGTTGTTTTTCATATATCGTTTTATTTCTTTATTACTAGGTAGGTACAAAACAACATTTTGAAAAAATGGAAACATAAGCCAGCAGGGGGAGTTCTTGTCCCCTTTTCTCATAATTATATGCCTATCCATATCAAACTTGTTGGAATACTACAGAACTCAATTATTACAGAACTCAACAGCTGAGGCTCAAATAAATATAGTGCTTCTTTACTTTTTAAATGCTAAGTCTTTCAGCTAGGGTTAAAATATTTTGTGCTTTTGAGTCGGACCATGGCTCTCCCACACAAAGTAGCATCCCAGCTTTTCAGTGACACTCTCCCTTAACATTGCTCTAATGAACAGCTTCATTGCTTCATGGAGGGACTTTCTCTATTAGATACTAGCCAACAACTTACATCACTACTACATCCTCTACAACAGCTATACTATCTTGGATTTCCCATTCCATGAAAGAGTGGGAGAATCTACCGACTGGGTATACAGACAGTAATAGACAGATAATAATAATAATAATAATAATAATAAAGACAGAGGATGTACCCTTCTTTACTCTACCCGGAAAAAAAAAACAGTTTGGGGCTGTGCATACATTATATTTATAAAGCAGAAATGTGACTTTCACCCAACATTCATTGATGGTGAATCAATCACTGTCCTTGAAGACACATGCATCACGAAGATAAACCTGCAATAAATGTTTGTTAATTGTCATATCCCCTGATTTATAAATATGCCACTTAGGTTTTAAGGTTCATGCACATGGATGTTCTGCTGCACCCAGGGAGATACATGTGCCACATACAAGTCTGCCATGCAAGTAAATGGCTGTACCGGGAAATATTCTTGTAAAGGACGATGCTTGATGCATCAATATTTACCAGCACAAGTGTGTATTAGTCATTTACCAAAGATAGAAGCTTTGCATTCGTAAAATACATTGGATGTGCATGCATTGATAAATACAGATTTGAAGAAGCATTAGGCAAGCCATAGACGGTGCAAATTTGGTTGCAGGAAAGAAATTTGCTTGATTCCCTCAAAAACATAGACAATGTTACAGGGAAATCTCTCCTGCCAAGCCATTGTGTTATCCCGCTGAGGGAGGACGGGGAAACCTTCCCTGCAGGGAGAAGACAGTGATTATTGCTAGCAGCTGTAACAGTCGCTAGCCATAATTGCATGTAAAATCGGCAGGCTGGTTGTACCCAAGTTGATTGATCAATCAACTTGGGCACATTCATCCTGCCCATACATGGTTTGAATCTTGGCCTGGTCCCCTTGAAATTTTAACTGTCTTTGGCCAGCTTTAGTGTTTACAAGAATACAGCAGCATACAGCCATTCACTTGATAGGCAGGTTATATGCGTCACCTGTGGCGTGGGAAAACATTGGGAAACTTACGCTGGGCATATAAAATGTGCATGAATCCTAATGTCGCTTGTCTCATTTTTCCCAATATGTTTTTGTAATTGATTACTTAGCAGGGATACACATAGTTGAAAGACTTTATTTATAAGTTAACTCGTAGGTCATGAGCAGCAATCTGTTAAGATTTTAAATACCTTGAAGCAAGTTAATAGTTTAAACTGAGAACAGGATGTTTTTAATGTCATCTAGATAGTGTCTGAAGTACTTGTCTAATCTTATTGCACTTTCAAAACTAGCAATTGTTTCTGCCAAGGCCAGAATCATACAATTAATAACAATATAAATTTAGTGCCTTTACAAAGTGACACTAGTGGATAATGCTGTCACTAATAAGTTCTCAAAGTGTAATTGTGTAGCATTAACATTAAATTGACTGTGACATATGTCACGCCAGCTTGGTACATAAAACTGCTGTTTTGCCAGTAGGGTTTTCTTTTCCAGTGTTAAATATTCTCATTTGACTGAAGTTCAGTTACCATGCATGACTTAAAGTTAGGTCCTGTCCCTCCATGCTGAAACATTCCTACCACATTCATACGCTGCATGCACTTAATTATACTGCAAGCAAAGAAAAAAAAGGAAACTGGTCAAAAAGCTCTAAATAAAGATTTTGATACATTTTTCGTTAGCTTTGAATAGCTCCATTTAAAAAGAATTGTGATCTTAAAGGGAAACATTAGTGTCTATTAAGTGAACACATATTTTTGTTGTTTCATTGTAATATTCATATTTAAAGGGACCCCATCTCCTGAATAAAAAGTAAAATAATAAGACTAAAGCTGGAATGCCTTATTATCAGACACAGATTAAACATATTAAAGGATAAGTTCACCTTTTAGACAAAAATAATCAATGCACATTTTTTTGCTGATAAAAAAAATGTGTATTTATTGTTTTTGTCTACAGGAGCCTGGAAAGCATTGCACCAGTGATCAGTAGATCACTGATGCCATGCAGGTCTGCAGACCTATCAAAATATCTGCTTGAAGTACGGGATGTACGGTCAAGCAGATATTCTGACAGGAAGCTTCACTGAACTACTACGGTGCTCCACGGGGGTGGCGGCTGCAGCTGCGGCTATGAGAACATGTTCCAGGTGGAACATGCAATATGTTCCCAAAGGTGCTCTTATCCTTTAAACATGTTTAAAAAAAATAACTAGGGGATTAGGCTTTTATAGGATAGCTTGTGGCAGCTTCATTTTTTTCTTCCTTTTTTTTGCATTTAATGTGCAATACTTTGATTTTCATTTTTTCACTTATCTTTTTTAATCCCTGTTTACCTTTTGCTTAAAATTCCTGACTGTAGTTGTTTTTCAGGGGCTTAGACTCATGGTGCACTTTTTCACTCACCTGTAAATTTTCTGAGTGGTTTACCTACAACAATATTTAGGTGTCTGATTTATTCCCTTGCCACCAGCAGACCCTCATCTCCATGATTAAGCCCCGGGGCAGGGTGAAACATGTTGGAGGCATGGTCTGGAGGCTGCTGTTTGCTGCTAGCCTTTTTGGGACGGGCAAGGTGTGCAATGGCTGGGCTACCTCTTTCTATTTCTGCAGCATGTTTTGGGGTTGAGCTCACTAGTCAGTGGCATACTACTACCTAAATATTTTTAACTTAATGCAAGGAATGCATTAAGGTAAAAAATGTTTAGGCTTTATAACCATTTTAAATGATTGGCAACCAGCAATATATTACATTTCTTTTTTTGGAGGAGTTTAATACTGCTTTAACTGGGGGGCATAGTCACAGATGGGGTGCTGTTTTCTGTGTGAGTGCTGTTTTTGATGGCATGCTAAGAAGCAGTTGAACACAGCTGTTTGACCAAAGCAGTATAACTCAAGCAGCAGGAAGATACAACAACAAAAAACTCTACTGCATGCTGGACAGGCTGCAAGCCAACACCCTGGGAAACATCTCTTACAAGTCTGAGTCCCACTCCGTGTACCTTTGTAATATGTCCCCTCTACTCCTCCTATTCATATTACTACCCTGCGTTCCCTGCGTTCCCTGCGTTCCCAAAATCTCACTTCTTTACCCCTCTGCTCCACCCCAAAACTTGAACATCTCACCCTCACCGCTACCATCTCCCTACTACTGCACTCTGCACTCATCACCTCCTGCTTCAATCCTACTTCACTCTCCTGCTGACCCAAACACCAGGACTGGAAGGCATGTACACTCGTGTACATCCCGCTTCCATGTTACTTTCCTCACCCTTCTTCCTTTCCTAACCTCTGGGGATATCTCCCCAAACCCTGGTCTTCCAGTATCTCACCCCCACACTAGGCACCCTCTTTCTTCCCCTCAATTTAATACCAGTCCCCAAAAACCACCCTCCCTTTTTCATGTGCGCTCTGGAATGCCCGCTCTCTCTGTAATAAGCTCACCTCTGTCCATGACCTTTTTGTCTCTCGCTCCCTTAACCTACTAGCAATTACAGAAACCTGGCTTCAAGCAGCAGATTCTTCTTCTCCTGCAGCACTTTCCTATGGAGGCCTTCTCTGGACCCATTCACCCAGACCC